CCCGCGTCCCCTGCATCGGCAGGCGGACTCTCAACCGCTGCGCCACCAGGGAAGCCCCTTACTGCTGTTTTTGAGTTCTTAGAGGTAAAGGCACAAGTATTTGCTCTCTGATACCCTCAATCTGCAGGCTCGAACCTACCATACAGCAATACAGCAATTATTTAGGTAGGAACTACTTGTGTGGACAGGTTCCAAAATCTAACTTACGACTTTTTCCCCCCAAACCTGTTCTTCTTCCTAATTCAGTTAATGACAGTAACTCATTTTCTCACACAGGTATGAAATCTTTTGTCTTTGACTTCAATTTCTTGCTATCATCCAGAATTTGCCAAATCTGTGAATTCCACTTCTACAATATCTCTGGAACTTCATCCCTTGATTCCATTCCCATTGCCACTACTCTAATCTAGGCCCTCAGTAGTTCTTGTCTAGGCTCTTCTAAACCAGTCTCCCTGTGCCACAGTCTCTCCTTCCTCCAAACCATCTCAACCCACTGTTAAAAGATTTCCCTAGAATAGCTCAGATCATGTCACTATATCCCTGCTCAAAACCTTTCATGGCTTCCCATTCCTTACTAAAACAAAGCATTCAAAGCTTCAAACTCTCTTTCCATTCTTGTCTTCTGCTGCTCTCCATTACACCCCATATTCTAACTAATGTAGACTGATTCTTTAAAAAAAAACATTTATTTTGTATTGGAGTATAGCCGATTAACAACATTGTGTTAGTTTCAGGTGTACAGCAGAGTGATTCTGTTATATGTAGACACGTATCTATTCTTTTCCAAATTCTTTTCCCATTTAGGTTATTACAGAGTATTGAGCAGAGTCCCCTATGCTATACAGTAGGTTCTTGTTGGTGTAGCAGTGTGTACATATTAGACTGCTTCTTGACCTCTGCCCTTACTGCTTCCTCTTTATGGATGTCTTGGTTCACCATCTCTGCATACCTAATGCCATCTCATCTATGAAAAGAAGGCTACATCTCTGACTAGGTGTAACCTTTTCTGTCTTTAATTTCTCATGGCACATTGAGACCTCTTCTAGATCACAGTGATTAATTCTGTAACATAGTTATATGTATAATGGGCCACAGAATATTCTCTATCTTTCATATAGAAAAGTGCCTCACGCATAGCAAGTTCTTAATAAATAAAGGAGGGAAGGCAGGCAGAGAAGGGAATGAAGTCAATTTTCTTGTTGCACGTGTGAACGGAATGATGAGCTAACCACCAATCTGCTAACAACTCCTGACTAATTTGAAATGGATGGACAACAAATGAAAATGCTCTCAGAAAGAAATTAAAGAAGACATTAAATGGAAAGACGTGTCATATTCTTGGACAGCAAGACAATACTGTCGAGATGTCAAAACAACCCAAAGTGATTTATAGATTCAACACAACCCCTAACAAAATTCCAACAGCTTTTTTGCAGAAAAAGAGAGGCCAACTCCAAAATTCAAGTGAGACTGGAAGGACCCTTGGGTAGCCAAAACAATCTTGGAAAATAACAAAGTTGGAGAACTCACAGTTCCCAGTTCAAAACTTAGTACAAAGCTACAGTGTTCAAAACAGTGGTCCTAGAATAAGAATAGACATATAGGGGCTTCCCTGGTGGCACAGTGGTTGAGCATCCGCCTGCCAACGCAGGGGACACGGGTTTGAGCCCTGGTCCGGGAGGATCCCACATGCCGTGGAGCAACAAAGCCCGTGTGTCACAACTACTGAAGCCTGCGTGCCTACAGTTCCTGCTCTGCAACAAGAGAAGCCACTGCGATGAGAAGCCTACCCGCTTATGAGAAAGCCCGTGGGCAGCAAGGAAGACCCAACGAAGCCAAAAATAATAAAAATAAAAATTAAATTAAAGAAAAAGAACAGATATATAGACCAATAGTATAGAATTGAGAATCCAGAAATAAATCCATACATCTATGCTCAACTGACTTTTGACAAGGATGGCAAGACTATTCAATGGAGGAAAGAATAGTCTTTTCAACAAATGGTGCCGGGACAACTGGACTTCCATATGCAAACAAATGAAGTTGAACTCCTACTTCATATCATATACAAAAATCAACTCTGAATATATCAATGACCTAAATATGAGAGCTAAGTCCATAAAATTCTTAGAAGAAAACATAGGGGTAAATCTTTATGACTTAGCATTTGGCAATGAATTCTTAGATATGACAATAAAGCATGAGCAACGAAAGAAAAAAACAAATTCGGCTTCATCTAAATTAAAACTTTTGTGCATCAGAAGTTTTCTTGACATTATCAAGAAAGTGAAAAGACAACTTACAGAATAGGAGAAACTATTGACAACAGAATAGGAGAAACTATTGACAAATCAAATATCTGGTAAGGGTTTAGTATTCAAAATATATAAAGAATTCTTATAACTCAACAACAAAAAGACAAAAACCCCAACTTTAAAATGGGCAATGGATTTGAATAGACATTTTTCCAAAGAAAACATACAAATGGCCAATGGGCAAATGAAAAGATGCTCAACATCATTAGTCATCAGGGAAATGTAAATCAAAATTAAAGTGAGATACCATTTCACACCTACTACGATGGCTATAATTTAAAAAATGGAAAATAAATGTTGGTGAGGATGTGGAGAAACTGGAACCTTTATACCTTGCTGATAAGAATGTAAAATGGTTCAGCTGCTGTGGAAATTTGGTGGTTCCTCAAAAGTTAAACAGAGAATTACAATATGACAAGCAAATCCACTTCTAGGTATATACTCAAAAGAATTGAAAACAGGGGCTTAAACAGATACTTGTACACGAATGTTCACTGCAGCATTATTTTCAAGAGCTAAAGGGTGGAAACATCTGTCCATCAAAAGATGAACTGGTAAACAAAATGTGATCTACACATACAATGGAATATTATTTAGCCATAAAAAGGGATGGAATAGGTGATGTATGCTTCAGAATGGATGAACCCAGAAGGCATTATGCTAAGTGAAAAAAGCTGGACACAAAAGAAAAAATATTGTACAATTCCACTTATATGAAATATCCAGAATAGGCAAATACATAGAGACAGAGAGTAGATTAGAAGTTACCAGGGGCTGGGAGAAGAGGAGAATGGGGAGTTATTGCTTTGAGGCACAGAGTTTCTGTTTGGGGTAATGAAAGTTTTGAAAACAGATATGGTGATAGTTGCATGACACTGTTAATGTAATTAAAATATCACTGAAATTATAATTAAAAATGGCTAAAATGGCAAAAAAAAATTGCTGTCAGAGGTTAGTTAGCTTAAGGGCTATCATGTCAAGGAAGCCACAAAGCAGATGCCATTCACTTTACTATATCAGAAAAGTCACCTATTCTTTCACTCAATGTCCAATACGTATTTATAATTCCATTCTCACCGTATTCTATAAAGCATACCTTCATGCTGCCCAGGTGACTGTGCCATTCTGCTCCACGCATTACTCCTCCTGGAATATTCTCATCTATAAAAGCATTGAGAGATGTAGGATCAACAAGATCATAAGGCAAGTCCTCATCCTCTCCCAAAACAGCAACAACAATAACAAAGGGTAGGGAAAATACCTACCTGATTTATTTGGGCAACTGGGCTGACCCATATGCATCGATGGATGATTATTTGCATAAAGAGATGCCAAATGCTTTAGAGTCTCTTTGTTTTCCACTACAAAAAGAAAAATTAGCAGAGAAATTGAAAAGATTTGTCTCCAAGTTCAACTTCATGGACACAAAAGTCATATTCCTTTCCTTCTAGTAAATCTTGTACCTCACTGAAGTTTACTGAGGAGTTACTATAATTAAGCACACTGTTCACTCCAAGATAATCTGACCAAGAAGATAAGCATCTTCCTTATATTAAAAGGCACTAACGGCGAGTTTAACAAGTTATCACACTAAAATACAAACCTATTTTGGTATGTTTTACTACATTTGGGTGCGACTGTGGCCTAATTACGATATTCCTTGTAAGCTGCATTGAAAGCAACACAAATTATCTCCATATACAATGGCCTCAGAGAGATTCAACAGGCAACTGTTTAACTCACCACAAGGTGCAACCAGTCAGTCAAGGTTTAAAGCAGGAGAGGGCAATTCTGTATTGTTAATGTTTGGTTACATAATATGGATTTCTTGGGGTGGGCATTGTGTCTTACTCACTTTTGTATTTCCATTGTCTAGAGACATAATAATTGTTCCATAAATGTTTATGGAGTAAAAATTGAGCAGATGTGACAAGATGGTTACATTGAATAAAGCTAGGCCATCATTAGATCTGACTTCCCTGCTCCAAGTAACTGAACTGTTGATGTATGTACAGACTTCTTAGGTTGTTTATTCATGCAGTGTGCTCAAATGCTCACCATTTAAAAAATTTTTAGAAGGGATAGTACCTAACTGAAATTTCCTATTTAAGCTTAAATAGTATATATGTAAAGTGACATTCTACATACCTGTTTGTACTGGCTTGTCATATGGGTATGTGACCAGCACTGAACCACCATCTAAAGCAACAGAAAGACTGAAGTCCTGTTTCTGAATCAAATTTTCAATGATGGCTTTAGTTTCAGGTTGGGAGGCATTATCTAAAAATATAGAAATGTCAAACATAAAACATCAGGTTTTAACATTTTAGTATGAGCAGCTAAGAAAATATTCCCTACTTGAGCACAGTCAAAAGGCTAACTTACAAAATCTGTAGATAAATACTTTATTACTCCATAAGCCACTACCTCATGCAAGAAAGATACTTCCTAGGAGGTAGGTTATTTTGAGTTTTACACACTTTAGGATAATGCTGAAAGGTTAATGACTCTAACCAAGTTTAAGAAAATTCTTACTGGAAACAAAAAGGGATGGACATATCCTCTTTTAAAAAATAATAACCCGTCCTTGAAAGAAAGTAAGATTTTCAGAAATCAGGGTATTTTCTGAAGCATTGTTTGCAAGAGCAAAAAATTAAAAAGAAACTAAATGTCCATCAGTAGGGAAATTGTTGAATAAACTAGAGTACTACCATATATTAACAGCATAATAAGATGCCATTAATAAGAATGTTAGAGATCTATGAGTATTGAAATAGATAGATGTCAATGATATATCCAACAAAAAAGTTGCAGAACAATATGTATAGCTGATGATCCTATTTAAGTAAATAAGAAACAGACCCCTTCAAATCAATACACACATACATTGTGTGTGTGTGTACACTCATATATAAGAGAGTAGAGAGGAAGAATATACATCTCTGTATGACTATGATGAAAACCTCCCCCCCAATATTATTGATTGAATTTCTAAAAAAAACTTGAATTACTTTTGCAAATGAAAAACAAGAAAAATTTGAAAAGTTTTCTAGATGTCTCTATTCATTTATATTGTACATCCTAGACAAGAAAGCACCCCTTACTCATCTATAAAATAGGATCAACCAATCTCCTAGCAAAGAGAAATAAAATTATCTACAAAGTACTTTAATGACCTAAATATTGGTCTTACTTGTGAAGTCTGTATCCAGGTCTTTGCCACGAGCATTTGTCTGTCCTGTCTTTGAAGTACAGTCTTTCTCTTGTGCTCTCTCTCGCCCATCTGGATTTAGAGAAGGGACAATCACAATTCTAGTCCTGTCGACCAACTAAAATGGAAACAGAAATCAATGAGTTTATTAGCTCTATGTGGAATCAAAAGGTACCCTCCCATGCTTCAAACAGAAAGTCTTTATTGTTTGTTTTAAACACAGATTTAAAAGGCAGAACTGAAAAATAAATAAAATTCTCTCTTGCTCCAAAAAAATTAAAAAAGAAACAAAAAACTGCACAGCTGCTGTTCCCAGAGACCTCCCAATATCTTACAACAGGGTCAGAAACCACTGTCTGTAGGCTAAACCCAGCCTGCTGCTTGCTATTGTAAATAAAGTTTTATTGGCACACAGCCTTGCCCATTCATATGACTGTTTTTGTTCTGCAATGGCAGAGTTGAGTAGTTGCAACACACAACATCTGACCCACAAAGTCCAAAATATATACTATATGGCCCTTTATAGAAAAAGTTTGCTGACAACTGGCTTAGATCAATAATAACTGACCAATAAATAAAAATAATACAAATACAATAAACACAATAATATTGTATTTATAATAATATTGTACTTCCAGATTAAAAACTGGAACATATAATGTGACAATTATCAATGTATGTCTGGAAACAATAAGACAGAAGAGTTGAAATCAGCATATCAAAAAAAAAATGAGGTGGGATATTTGTCTTACTCATAATTTCTCCCTCAAATGAGCCATATCCAGAGGTGTTAATACCTACATTTATGGCCTGAATTTCTGATATAATTCATCCTACATATTTCTAATAATAAATCAGAATAAGTGATCCCTGGTTTATTTATTCTAGTAAAATTGTCAATAGCTTGAAAATATATTTGCAATCCTTTAATTCATTTATGCTGGAATCTCTGAGGGAGATTTTTTTCCCTATATGCTTGGGCTTAACCATATGTCTCTGGGTATATTTTCTTGAACTCTCCAGACAATTCTGGCACTTAGCTCAAAACAAATGGCAATCTAAAGTGATCTAAGCCTAATTAGACCAGTGAGGCAAATTCTCATAAACTAGGAGTTTTGAAATTCCTGGTAGATGTTTTACCTGGGGTATATAGTCTCTTATAACCTTAAGATCAGTAAGTAAGTAGTAACTCTGGCTAAATGTTAGAATAACCTAAGGAGCTTTTAAAGAAATATTGATGCTTCTGGGGATGGAGCCCAGGCACTGGTATTTGTAAAAGCGTCCCAGATGTTTTCAATGTATAGCCAGGGTAGAGAACCACTGTCCTAGGTAATCTCCCTTTTAAAAAAGAACAACAAAAATCTTTGAAATACTCCTGCAATTCACATGAAGAAGTCAATGGGATCTGCTTTGCTGAAAATGGTAAAATAATTTTTGATCAAGTCTGATTTAAGTTCATCTCACCTAATCCCACATCATGGGATCCTAATCATGACATCAATTCTTTCCAAATTTCTTTCAGGGGAGGCAGTAGGGTAAAACAGAACAGCACAGGCTTTAGAGTGAGACATGCTTGGGTTTAAATCCCTGCTTTACCACTTAGTAGCTGTGTGACCTCCTGTAAGTTATCAAATATCTCTGCCTCAGTTTTCACATCTATAAAATGAAGTTAACATAATTGCAGGGTTGAGGATTAAATTATGATGTATGTAAAGTACCTAGCACATGGTAGGTATTAAACAAATACTAGTACTTTTCCCCTTTCCTAAATTCTATACAGACAGTGCCAATTAGTGAGTGTTCTAGACAGATGCACACCCTTTCCTTCCTTTCCCTAAGACAACACAGAAACTAGGTTGCTTAATCATACATAACCAGGTTCTGGATCAACGTTCTATTCTATAGTCACGGGCGACTAAAGTAGGCACTGCCATATCACTTTTTCTAAAATATCTTAGCATCCAAGGTGTCCAATAATTTCATCTTTATTACATGAAAAAAACCCCGATTTCTCTTCTACCTCATTTTTCAATATAGTATCTTAGTTATAAATAACTGGCAATGGAAGTCCCTCTAATTAGAATATACATCACTGTGAGTAAAGATTGGAAGGGTAACATAAAGGAATAGAGGACTGAATGCAAATCTTTATTATTTTTTTCCTCTATGGCTCTTAATACATACGAAGAAATATAATAGAAAGACACTATTAACAATGACTATATACCAAGGTCCATTTTTAAAGAGTAAAGTGTATAATGACCTTAAAAGTACCTCTGTATAAAATCTAACAGGAAATTAAATTAAAAAAAAAATGGTGCCTTGATATCAGTGTATCACTGAGCTTTTTCCTTTTAAAGCACATCAAAACAGGCTATTTTCTTACTTGGGTAACAGCTGGGTTCTTTTTGTAGTTTAGGCAGAGAAATTCTGCCAGAGCCAAAAGAAGTTCAGTTCCAACTGGAGCATTTCCATGGATACCAGCAACAAAACGAATCTTTGGTTCTTCAGGCTCAGATACATTGGGCTTATTGGAGATTTCAAGGGACCAAATGTGACGATATTCAGCACTCTGTCCCAAACTTTCAAAAACAAGAAACAAAAAGTCAGCACGTAATCAAGTATTATGTTAATGCTGCCTTACAGATTTTAAAAAAACAAATGAGAACAAAATTTGAAAAGTCTTAAAAAGTCTTTAAAGAGTAAATCTTTATGTCGGACTACTTTAAGAAAATTAGGCTCCCTTAATCAAAGAAAGTCAAATAGATGTGAGACACTATCAGATTTAGGAAAGATTATGATTTAGTTCAGCATTCCTCCAAATTGTCATTCTCCTATCATCTTCACAATATTTACCCAATCTTCTATAATCTATACTACTCTTTAGTTAATATATGTCTTTTTTTTTTTTTTTTGACTGTGCCGCCTAGCATGTGGGATCCTAGTTCCCTGACCAGGGATCGAACCCGGCCCCTGCACTGGAAGCATGGAGTCTTAACCACTGGACCTCCAGGGAAGTCCCTAGTTAACATATGTCTTTTAAGTTAACTCACTTAAATTTTTATTATGGAAATATTTAAATATACACAAATGCAGAGCACCTTACTTTTAAAATCTAAATTAATTTACACAAATAAGACATTTTATACTTTAAATGCAGTACCAAGATTACAGCAAAACTAATTGAAAAGGCCTGCTTTTTTTGATATAAAGGGAGATTTACAAGAGTTAGATAGAAAAAAAAATATTGGCATTAAATTGAGGATTAATAGAATAGACAAAGTACCGCTTTCTCACAATGGTATTTAATGATACTTAGCAACTGTTGGAGGACCACCTAAAACTGCCTTGTGTCCCACAACTGGCAGGTGTTGCTGTATTTGCTGGGGAAATATTTAACTAAGAAATGCATGTTTAATTGAAAGGTTTAAAAAAATAACTTAAATGAACTAAGTAAATGGATAGCAAAATAATGTCCAATTTTTTGTTTTAAAATAAGAAAGTCTGTAACATCTATATGGCACTAACATGGACAGTATTAAAACCTGACCTGGGCAGAAATGTTCGAGTCAGTTGCGGAAGAGAGGTAATTGGTATTGCCAAAGTAAATATCAGTCTTTGCAATTACAGACATTATAAACCAGTATTTGAGAAAGTAAATTTACTGGTAAAATTAAAAGAACCAATGAAGGAAAAAAAGTGAAAAAGTGAAAGTCTAGTTAATGTTCATTAGGTTTGTAGTAGGGAACTGTAAGTTCAGGGCAAAATGTAAAGGCCCTAAAATAGGCAAATAATAGGAATCAACAAATCAAGGAAATAGTTTTGAGACAGTGAAAGTGAAGCAGAGAAGCCTAAGAAGTGAAGGTAAAAGTTGTTTCAGCCATCAGTTTTACATAAGCCAGTACTGCATGTTTTCCCAGAACCCTCAATCACATATGTCCCTAAGGCTTCAGGGAACCATGACAGTGAGTAGAGACTAAAGCACAGAAAATGACAGCCAACCAGGCTTCATTATCTAATTTGAAGAAAAGGTTAAACATGATCCCTGACAAGTGAGCTCATAGTTCCAAATTTGTCCCTGCCCCCAGCAAAATGAAACAAACTAAATAATATTTAGTCAGAATGTGAATCTGCAGCTGAGAAGTAGAAAGGGTTTTGAAATCAAAGTAATCATTAGAAAGAATGATTTTACATTTTCTGGAGGCACAGGCCACACATTGCTAAACTAACAAGTAATTCTGCTCCAATGTTTCTCATAAAAGTTTCCAAGATTCATTGTTAGAAAGATCTCCAAGCAAACATCTGTTTCAAAATAAGTGAAATCCAATTCTCTATACATTCAGCTCCCAAATATCTCTAAATAAATTACAAGAACCATTTAATGTGGCTTATGCTAAATGTAACCTCTTTAAAATGAAGAAAGAAGGAAAGAAGGAAAGAAGGAAGGAAGGGAGGGAGGGAGGGAGGGAGGGAGGAAGGAAGGAAGAAAGAGAGAGGGAAGGAGAAAGGGAGAAAGAAAGAGGAAAAAAAGGCAGCAAGAAAGTGACACTTACTTGGTAAGATTTGTAATATGTGGATAGTTCATCACAAGTCCTCTCAGAAACTCTGATAAGTCCTTGTATGAATGGTATCGATAAAGAGCCAGATTTGAGGAGGAGCGTAACATGAAGCCTTCCAAACCATTCTCAGCTGAAAGGTCTTTAATTAAAGTTTCAAACTCTTTAGTAGTCGGATCGCTGGCACCCTCATTGTTGGTGCTGTCCCCCTTGCCTTTCTTTGATTCATTGTTTGAATCTGTTGAAGATCGAACAAGTGTGAAGTTGACCTGAACAGCACCTTCACTGTTTACGGTCACATTCTTGGTAACTGGATTATACCTGTAATAAAGGAGACAGATCAGAGCCACGCTTCTGCAGCTGGAGTACCCAAACCCTGGGAAAACAGAGGTGTGCAGAGGATATGTGAATCCTCGAGATAAATGTGCTGCATCTCCCTAAAGGGTCAAATTGTTAACTTTGTGAGAATTTAAGATTTGTTTTAAACATTAACGAAGACCATACAAGGGTAGACTATAAAACATAAATGAGTCTTTAAGATTAAATATATGACTTCAAAAGAAAGCTCATGCTTGCAGTGTATACGCCCATATTTCCTGGAATCTGAGTTCACTTGTCTGTCATCAGGGAATATGGTGGAAAAAGTTTGAGAAGGACTAACTTAGGACATTCTCTGCCAAACGCATTATTCTTGCCCCATTTTTCAGATACTTTGATGCTTTGGTTTTTCCAATACTATGCCAAAACTGAAAAAAACCAGAACAGACTTCTTTACTCGTTTAAGTTCTAACCCATTCATTTACAGACCACTTGATATTTGAAAACCATTTTTTAAAAAAAGGTAACAATAACTTTAAATGTTTCCATGTATTTACCCTTACTTCAATGAGTGTTCAAACTAACTCTTCAGAAATAAGAGAGCTAGTAGGGGGAGGGGAAAATATTCTGTGGGAACACCTACATGTATCAAATATAAAAAAGAAAACTACAAGAGGATAAAAATTATAAGTTTCGACTAAAAAGTAAGGTGGCTCCAGTTCTAAGGTATTTGTAAAGGAGAAGGAACATAAGGAATATTAAGTTTTTTTCCAAGGGAAAAGGTCATAAGTTAATTTTTTCTTTTCAAGTAAATATATCTTTGTGGTGAGAAAAACTAAAAAATATGAAAATGGCTTTTCTCAGAGAATTAGCAGTAAGTAAGAAAATCTCACTTGATGCGAGAAGGCAAAGCTACAATAATAAAAAATAAGTGTCTGTGAAAGAGTTTTGAAAGGGTACAAATGTAAAGTGGTGGTATTTTGGGGACAACATGACTGGAAGTATGCAGAACAGAAGTCTTTTTTTCCCTACTAACAAGTACTTCCCAGAACTGTTACCCATAGTGAAGGAAATCAGTCACTATGGCTTTACATCTGGACAGGGGAAGGTGACCTGAGAGGATGAAGGTAAAAGAGGCTACTGTTCAAAGTGAATAATTTCACAAATTTCTTACATCTGATGGTTCACGTACTCACTGTGCCACCAGAGAAGAGTCAAATGTGTAACCAGCTCTAAACTTCTCAGCATTAAACTCAAGGTTGCTTAGCCTCTACAGGGCTTTCTGGCAATAATCTTTTAGAATGGAACTATGCTTGTTTCATCTCCAAGCACTCAATTACAAAGCATTCAGTAACTCACCCTCGAGCAGATGCTGTGATTTTATAAGTTCCTGGAACCAACAGACGCCAGTAATCTCCAGTTTTGTAAGTAGTTACTGGGTGATTAATTTCAGCAACACTAATGGTGGCATTTAATATACCTCTGCCATCTGTGGCATCTAGGACAAATCCTTTGACACCCTGATGAACCTGGATAAAGCACAAGGACACCCAGATTTTACTGATAAAGATCATCATCTAATTATTTTGGAAGTTCACATCCAAAATAACAGATTGTTAAATAATGTAAACATGTAGAACAAATAGGAATTCAGGAGCTCAGAGTAAAGCTAAATGTAACTGCCCATTAAACAAAATATTTCAGTTTCTGAAAGGCTAGTTTTTCATGTTAGATTTGTCTTTATCTTCCTATCAGCTACAGAAAGACATTTTGAGGACAAGTGGAGGAAATTTGAACATGGATTAGGTATTAGGTAGTATAGGGAGTTACTGTTAATTTTCTTAGGTGAGATAATAGCAATTGGAGAAGTCAGGTAGGAGAATTAACCTTATTTTTAGAAGATGTATTCCGAAATACTTTGGGATAAATATCATAACACCGGCAATTTATACTGAAATAGTTCAACAAAAGTGTATGTGTGTTTATATATATATATAAAATACAAATGCAGCAAAGTATAAAAATTGTTAAACCTAGGTAAAGGAATAGTAGTATTTATTGTTAGTCTTATAATTTTTCCTGATGCTTACAAATTTTCAGAATAAAATGTTCTAAAAAATTAGTATGCAAACTCACAGCCATTATGCCATTCTACTCAGCAAAGTACTGGCACAAAGTATTAATCAGATTATCCTAATAATTTTAACCACTATTAGCATATTTCTTATAGTCTTTACCTATTGGCCACGATGCACATCCAAACAAAAGGAAATTAATCGTTTCACAGTAAACCAATGGCAAAAAAAAAAAAAAAAAAAATTTACCCCATAGCCCACCTTTATCACTTGAAAAATTCTTAGGCATGTATCCAATCTATAGTAGCCCTTTATAAAGACAAGGGTAAAAAGTGACCACTAACCATTAAGTGCAAAACATCATCACTATATTGTTTAATCATTTTTAACTCTTCTCTGCGCATATAAATAAACTCATTTACATCCATGAATTTTCTAGATAAATATACGAAAACATGAACAGGTCAAACTGGAATTCAAATGAGGTGTATTCTAAAATCAATGCATGAAAACCACATGTACACACAAAAATCTTCTTGCCCTTGGGAGAAATTTCAAATGTCACTCCAGAATCGTCACCTGTTTCAGAAACTGGATTAGAGATCTTCGATTCTGTTCCCAAAATTTGGGCAGATCTTTCTCAAATGGGTATTTCACACAACCAAGTTCAATAGTCACTTCAAAGCAGTTTGTTTGTAAATAGTTCCAGTCCTGCATACCACCTGAAGGATAAAAATTTTAAATCAGTTACTCTGAAGAAGTTCTAACTAGCTCAGATCCCAAATTGTAAGCAACATTCCAGTAAAAAGCCAAATTCATCTTTTATCAGCATGGCTGAAAACCAATAATGCGTTCATTTGAGAGCTCTCTGATGCTTGTGGTACAGGTAAAACATCTGTACTTTCATGTTCAGGAAGAATTCAAGTGTAGCTCACACTCTTCTTCTTAGCACATCTAAAGTTCTTTGTAATAGCCAGCAGTAAAGTATAACTTTCATGAAGTTTCAGTACATTATTTTACTCAAAAGTCAAAGTGCACCAAATATTAAAAATAGTTGAAACGGTAATTTGAAGTTTTAAACTATTTATACAATATTTTTAAAAGAATGATTCTTTCTCAAAATTAAAAAATCAGTAACAAGCAGTACCATACAGGGGGACAGAAAATCCATCAAGTTATATGGCCTTAATATAAAAGAATGTTTACCTGGGACATTGTACCAACTGGCTCCATTTGTTATTCCATGAGGAAAATATTCATTAGGGTACATATTCTTGCAAGGTCTACCTTGAAACATCTGGGAATTTTCCTGGGAAAAAAAAAAAAAGAATCTTTACTTGTATTTGTTTGTATCTGCATCAAAAAACATGGGAAGGATAAAGAAAGACAGGAAGAGTGGTTAACAGTAGGGTATATGTAGGGGTGGATGGAGTCATGGGAAGCAGTGACTTACTACCTACTTTTTAAAATCAAAGCTAAACAGTTTATGCTCTGTAAAAAAAATAAAAGTGAAGACTTCATTTATTACTTGTAATTACAAGTAATATAAAAATCCAACCCAACCCCTCTCAAAAACAAAAACAACACTGTTCATATTCGTACTTTCATTTCATGATCTCAAGAAGCTTGAAGTCCAAAAGAGGTAATTCACACACAATGCAAAGTAAACATCTTTCTCTGACTTCTTGGGGACTAAGGTAGCCCCTCTGTGCTTTGACTGCACTCTGTACAATTATTTTATCCTGTTAAAACTGGTTGCACCTCTTTTCCCCCTAAAGACAATACACTACTCCTTGAAACAGTTTGTGTCTTTGTGTCCTCGGCATCCAGCAGTGTCTATAATAGCACGTGTGCAATTGCTTGTTCAATGGAGAGTAAGAAAAACTGCCACAGAGGCACAAATAAACACTACTGGGAGCTAGAGGAGAGAAAGATTATTTCTGACTAGAGTGGCAGGGGACTTTTCCTGAAGAAATTAAGCTTTGAAAGGTGGTCAAAACTTCATTTCTCTCTTTTGTAAATAGAAAAAGAAAGAAAGTACAGAAAAGTGTAAAGAGAAAAGTAATTTCTCACTTTCCCATCACTGAGAATTAACCATTTAACTTTAAATTATACAAAACAACCCCTTTCGTAAACTTAACATATCAATTACAGGCTTATGATCCCACCAATGTTATCAAATGAAAGCTATTGTTTTAGGTTACTGGAATATTTGTGTACATGCTCTTTTGCTCTCTGGCTTTTCCACTAAACACTTGCACACATCTTCTATGTCTCTATATCCCTATCTCCATTTCCATCAATATCTATCCATTTGATTATAAATTATATAGATGTACTACTGTACTAATTAATATAGTATGTATATTACAAACCTGCATTAAAAAAACATTTTAAAAACAGAACGTCTAATATATTCTTCCTACATCTTAATGGATCATCTAGTATAAATCCCACTCTAGACACCACAGTTCTAGGCAATTGCTGTTAACATTTTGACTTTATTCTCAGAGCAACTTGTGAAGATTTCTGATGGAAGGGTGATATATGATATATTCATGGCTCTAGGAAGTTTATTCTGATAATAATGTGAAAAAATGGACCAAAGCCAGGGAGATTCATCAGAGTACTACTGAAATAATCCAACTGAGAGATAATGAGCATCTGAAAGGTTGTGACAGATAGGTTTTACCATGTGTATTTTACCATCTTCTTTAATTCTCACTACTCTACTTTGATAATCTTTTTTTAAAAAACTAATTAAAAATTTTAAAGCAGGGCTTCCCTGGTGGCGCAGTGGTTGAGAGTCCGCCTGCTGATGTAGGGGACACGGGTTCGTGCCCCGGTCTGGGAAGATCCCACGTGCCGCGGAGCGGCTGGGCCCGTGAGCCACGACCGCTGAGCCTGCGCGTGCTCCGCAACGGGAGAGGCCACACCAGTGAGAGACCCACGTACCACACACATACTCAAAAAAAATTTTAAAGCAAACAGTTTGACAACTTAAAGAACATAGGGGGTGAGGATGTAGGTGTCCAGTCTCAGTCCATATATAAAGAGTCTAAAATATATACCAAGAGAGTAAATGATTCTCTTCTTTTTGCTTGGCTATAGTCTCTAATCTTTTTATAATAACTTTCATTATATGAAACAAATTTTTAAAGAGGCATTTACATAGTGGTGACAGCTAAAGCAACTGGATGCAATTGCCAAGACAGTAAAAATGGCTAAGGACAGAATATGGAGGGGGGAAAAAAAGTAAGAGAGAGGTTGAGCCACTGAAAGAGAAAAAAGGAAGCAAAGCTCTCTGCTATATAATGTAACAGAGATCAAGGGGAGAAGACAAGAGCATTAGACTTCAGAGGTCAAGAACATTTTAAAAAAACAGACTTCTGGTAACCTTTGAGGGGGCAATTCCAGGTAAAACAATGTAGGCAGAAGACAGATGACAAGAAACTGAGGCATGAGAGAACAATAAGGAAGTGGACATAAACAGAGACTATTCACTTTTCTTATTCTTTTCTTTTGACTTCTTTTGAACTAAATTTAGTTACAGAAAAGTTGCAAAAATAGTACAGAGAGTTTTATATACCTTTGATCCAGCTTTCCCTGATGTTAGCATCTTATATAACCATAGCACAATTAACAAAAAAAGGAAATTAACACTGGCATGATACTATTAACTAAAAACCCTATATTTTATTCAAATATCACCAGTCTTCCACTAATGCCTCCTTGAAATTTTCTCTTCACTTATGTCACACTGTATAGCTCCATTTTTCCACTTTCACTTAATTGAATTCATTGAATTTCATTATACTTAAAATATAGTAAAAGTTATTGTACAAAGATTAGAAAATTGAGGCAAGCCAAAAGAAAAAAATATAAACCTAGAGATCACCAATCATTTAATATTTTGGCATATAACTTTTGACGTTTTTTCAGCCTACATATGAACTGAGCATGGATACCCCACCCCTGAGTCTTCTCTAGGTTCTCAAAATCTGCTTTATTGAAATATAATTCACACACCACACAACTCACGCATTTGAAGAATACAACTCAATGGTCCTTGGTATATTCACTCAGTTGTGTGACCATCACCACAGTAAATTTTAGGACATTTTCATGACCCCAAAATAAACCTGTACCCATCAGCACTCCCCATTTCCTCCCAACCTCTTCCCTGCCCCTCCCTACATCCCAAGCTCAAGGCAATTACCAGTCTATTTTCTGTCTCTATGGATTTGCCTATTCTGGACATTTCATATAAACGGAATCACACAATATGTAGTCTCTTGTGACTGGCTGCTTTCACCTAGCATGTTTTCAAGGGTCATCTAAGTTGTAGTTTGTATCAGTACTTTATTTTTTTTTATGACTGAATAGTATTCCATTGCATGGATATATCACATTTTGTTTATCCACTTATCACTTGATGGGCATGTGGGTTGTGTCCATTTTGGCTATTATGGATAATGCTGCTATGAACATTTGTGTACAAGTTTTGTGTGGACTGTGTTTTCATTTCTCTTGGACATATACTTAGGAGTGGGATTGTCAGGCCATATGATAATTCTATATTTAACATTTTAAGGAACCGCAATTGTTTTCCAAAGCAGTTGTACCATTTTACATTCCCACCAGCAATGCATAAGGGTTCCAATTTCTCCACATCCTTACCAACCCTTGTTATTTTCTTTTTTTTTTTTAAACTATAGTCATCCTAGTGGGTAAAAAGTAGTATCTCATTGTTGTTTTGATTTGCATTTCCCTTTTTGTGAGCTTGTCGGTCATTTGTATATTTCTTTGGAGAAATGTGTATTCAGATTCTTTGCCCATTTTTCAATTGGATTGTCTTTTTATTATTTAGTTGTAAGAGTTCATTATATATTTTAGATATAAGATCCTTATCAGATATATGGTATTCTCCTATGCTGTGGGTTATCTTTTTACTTCCTTGATTATTATCTGTTATATGTTGAATTATGTCTCCTCCAAAAGATGTGTTGAAGTCCTAACCCCCAAAACCTCATAATGTGACTGTATTTAATTACAGAGGTAATCAAGTTAAAATGAGGTAATTACAATGGGCCCTAATCCAATATGACTGGTATCTTTATAAAAAGGGAAAATTTGGACACAGACAACAGGGAGAATACCATGTGAAGACAGAGGACTGGGATAATCCATCTAGAAACCAATGAATGGCAAAGACTGCCAGAAAAACACCAGAAGCTAGGAAGAGGCAAGGAAGGATTCCCTTCCAGGTTTCAAGGGAGCATGGCCCTGCCAACATCTTGATTTCGGACTTCTAGACTCTAGAACTGTGAGACGAAAAATTGTTACCGCAGTTCTAGGAAACTAACACAGTATCCTTCACAACAAAAAAGTATTAAAGTTTGATGATGTCCAGTATGTCTTTTTTCTGTCACTTGTGCTTTTGATGTCACATCTAGGAAACCATTGTCTAACCCAAGGTCACAAAAATTTATTTCTATATTTTTTCCTAAAAGTCTTACAGTTTACATTTAGGTCTATGATCCACTTTGAGATTATTTTGGGGTATGATATGAGGAAGAGGTCCAAATTTATTCTTTTGTATGTGAATATCCAGTTTTCCATAACCATTTAGTGAAAAGATTTTTCTATCCTCATTGAATTGTCTTGGTGCTCTTATTGAAAAATCAACTGGCCATAAATGTAGGAGTTTATTTCTGGACTATCAATTCTATTTCTTTGATGTGTATATGCCCATTTTTTTTAAAACATCTTTATTGGAGTATAATTGATTGCTCTACAATGGTGTGTTAGTTTCTGCTTTATAACAAAATGAATCACCATTACATATACATATATCCCCATATCTCCTCCCTCCCACTCTCCCTATCCCATCCCTCTAGGTGGTCACAAAGCACCGAGCTGATCTCCCTGTGCTATGCAGCTGCTTCCCACTAGCTATCGATTTTACATTTGGTAGTGTATATATGTCAATGCTACCCTCTCACTTCATCCCAGCTTACCCTTCCCCGCTCCCGTGTCCTCAAGTCCATTCTCTACGTCTGCATCTTTATTCCTGTCCTGCCCCTAGGTTCTTCAGAACCACTTTTTTTTTTTAAGATTCCACATATTTGTGTTAGCATACGGTATTTGTCTTTCTCTGACTTACTTCACTCTGTATGACAGACTCTAGGTCCATCCACCTCACTACAAATAACTCAATTTCATTTCTTTTTATGGCTGAGTAATATTCCATTGTATATATGTGCCATGTACATGTCCATCTTTATTCCCGTATCACAGTGTCTTAATTACCAGTCTTGAAGTAAGTTTGAAATTGGGAGATGTAAGGTCTTTAGCCCTTACAATTTATTCTTCATTTCTAGAGATAATTTTCTTTTTCTTCCATTACTTTCCTGAATTCTATCAACTCTCTTTCATTTCTTCCTGTTTCTTTTTTCATTCCTGTTTTAATTTTTTAAATATCTGAACCTATGTGGTTTTTCATATTCTCAGTCTGTGTTTGGGTATAGTCAATCTGCCTGGAGTGTAAACTTACAGTTTTCTTCTGCTTCTTGATTGTTTTTTGGTGGTGGTAAGGTTTCCTCAGGTGATATGTGTGAAATTCCATTTCCTGATTTTTTCTCATATTCTCAGTCTGTGTTTGGGTATAGTCAATCTGCCTGGAGTGTAAACTTACAGTTTTCTTCTGCTTCTTGATTGTTTTTTGGTGGTGGTAAGGTTTCCTCAGGTGATATGTGTGAAATTCCATTTCCTGATTTTTTCTGCAATGGTTCTTCATGGGAAGCTGTCCTTTTAAATTGTGCCTATCCCTTTAAGTACACCAGGCCCTTTAATTTGCATGTACTTTGAAACCTCTTCCCTATATTCCAGTGCTTTCATCTGCCCAGTTACTATCTTAGTATTTTCAGATTTAGGTTTCAGATGTAGCGTGTTTTCAATGTTTGGTGGTCCTTCCGAATCACCTTTACGCCTGCTGTTCCTTAAACCCCCCTCTTTTGTCTTCACAGATTTTCTTGGTCTGCTTTTCCTTACCATGAAGCCTTGTGGCAGGGGAAAGGTGGCTGAGTGCACAACAGATCATGATAGATCACAGTCAAGAGAAAGGAGGCGGGAGTAAAGATTGAGGAATTTAATTGTCACCTCATTTATAACAGAAGAAACAAAGACAAAGAGGAGGCAGGGTGCTGTGGGATCAAGAAATGAAGAAGAGTGATCAGCCAAGATGGTGGAGTAGAAAGACCCTGAGCTCACCTCCTCTCACGAGCACACCAAACTCACAACTATTTGCAGAACAACCATCAGTGAAAAAGACCGAAACCTATCAGAAAAGATCTTCTACAACTAAAGACATAAAGAAGGAACCACAGCAAGATGGGTTGTGGACCATCTCGGACTCGTGATATAGTCAAGTCCCATACCCATGGGTGGGCGGCCCACAGAGTGGAGAACAATTATATTGCAGAGGTTTTCCCACAGGAGTGAGACTTCTGAATCCCCATCCCGTTCCCCAGCCTGGGGTCCTGCATAGGGAAGATGAGCCTCTAGAGCATCTGGCTCTAAAGGCCAGTGAGGCTTAACTTCAAGAGGCCCACAGGACTGGGGGAAACAGAAACTTCACTCTTAAAGGGCGCACACAAAATCTCACACACTCTGGGAGCCAGGACGAAAGCAGTAATGTGATAGGAGCCTGGGTCAGACCTACCTGCTGATCTTGGAAAGTGTCTTGGGGAGGCGGAGGGCGGCTGCAGCTCACCCTAGGGACATAGACACTGGTGGTAGCCATTTTGGGGACCTCCTTCCACTGCATGGACGCTGGTGCTGGCAGGCACCCTTGTGGAATCCTCCCTCTGGCTCATTAATGCCAATACCTGGCCCCGACCCAACAACCAACCTGTAGGTGCCAGTGCTGGGATTCCTCAGGCCAAGTAACTAACCTGGCAGAGACACAGCCCCACCCATCAGCAGACAGGCTGCCAGAAGATCTCCTGAGCCCACAGTTGCCTCTGGAAACAGCCCTGCCCACGAGAGGGCCCAGGACCCAGCTCCACTCACCAGTGGGAAGGCACCAGTCCCAGACTCCCCTGGGCCCTGACCCTGCCCTCCAGGAAGCCCACTGTAGCCTGTGGACCAGCTTTACCCACCAGGGGGCAGACACCAGACATGAGAAAACTGCAATCATCAACAGATGAATGGACAAATAAGCTGTGATACACACACACACACACACACACACACACACACACACGCAGCAGAGTACTACTCAGCCATAAAAAAGAATGAAATTTTGCCACTTGCAACAACATGGTTGGACTTGGAAGGCATTATGCTAAGTGAAATAAGTCATACAGAGAAAGACAAATACTGTATGATATCACTTATATGTGGAATCTAAAAAACACAACAAATTAGTGAATATACCAAAAAAGAAACAGACTCACAGATATAGAGAACAAACTAGTGATTACCAGTGGGGAGAGGGAAGGGGAGAGGGGCAATGTAGGAGTAGGGGATTAAGAGGTACAAACTATTATGTATAAAATAAGCTACAAGGATATATTGTATAACACAGGGAATATAGCCAATATTTTATAATGACTACAAATGGAGTATAAACCTTAAAATTGTGAATCACTATATACCTGTAACTTATAATATTATACATCAAATGTACTTCAATTTAAAAAAATTAGGAGGAAAAAAAGAAATGCAGAATATGGGTAAAACACAAATAAACAATAATTAAGAAGACAGAATCAGAATGAACACACATCAGATTATTCACAGTTCCACTTTAGTTCAAGGCAAAGTGATCTACTGAGAATCAGACAAACAAAGCTGGGATTAGAAGGCTCAGGTAGAGGATGAAGGCTCAGAATCACCATAGTGGGAAATGAGCCAGGGAGTCAAGTAGCAAAATGTGAAATATTGCCAGGTAGAACTGAGGGCTCAGCTGAGGTTAGAGAGCACTATATATACATAGTGTAGTCAATTACCATGACTGTGTGACTTCTCTGGGATGTAGAAGAGAGATGACTGTAATTACTAAGGGTTGGACAGTGGCAAGGCAGGTATGTCAAAAGGGTATAAAAGATCCTAAGGTGTAGGTGAGTGCATCACTGAAAGGTATGTCCATAGGTGTAGGCTGGGTAGAAAGGAAATCAAATCAAAAGGGTTAAAGGTCAAAGAAATATAAAAAGAAGCTAAGGAATGAGAAGTTACAAAGAGGATGAAAAGTGGAACTATAATAATGGACAGAATGTGATGGGGATACATGTATAATCTGATCACTTAGTTTTTATTTTGATGATTGGAGGGTATCTCATTTTTATTATTTCATGTACATCCCTCAAAAATGGCATGCCCAAACAGAAGACAACTACACTTTAAGGTGAAATAATAGATGTACTCCCCTATTAGAAACTCTGAACAATCTCACAAGATCCACTTGCAGAGAATGAGGGAGTGGGAGAAATAGAATGACAGAAAGCTGTGATTACAGAGCACAGAGCTGCAGTAATAATCTTCATTTATCTATGACCAATAAAGTCACAGACTGAGTCAGTAGTAAGACCAAAAACTGAAACTAACAAGCCTAGTTCCCAAGCCTCAACTTTTAACATGCTTTCTAAGAACAACTTTTAAACTAAAATTTCACATATACACACACACACAAATATAACATTTCTGATTATGAAGGTAATGTGTGTTCATTATAGGAAGTTTAGAAAATACAGAAATTTCTACTTGCTCCTTTGCAATATGTTACTACTAGGCTCTTAAATACCTTAGACCAGGGGTCCCCAACCCCCAGGCTGCAGACTGGTACCAGTCCCTGGCCTGTTAGGAACCGGGCGACACAGCAGGAGGTGAGCGGCCACCAAGTGAGCAAAGCTTCATCTGCCGCTCCCCATCACTCGCATTACTGCCTAAACCACCCCCCACCGCCTACCCCTGTCCATGGAAAAACTGTCTTCCCCAAAACTGGTCCCTGGTGCCACAAAGGTTGGAGACCACTTCCTTAGACTATAGGTTGGCAATTTTTTTCTGTAAAGGGTCAGATAGTAAAAACTTTTGGCTTTACACGCTCTAAAGTGTCTGTTGCAATGACTCAACCCTGCCCTCTGCATCTATTGAGATGACTGCAGCGTTTTTCTTCTTTAGTCTGTTAATATGGTGAATTACACTGACTTATTTTCAAATGTTAAACAAAAAAGCAGCAATGGACAATATTTTAAAGAATGGATGTGCTGTATGTCAATAAAACTTTATTTACAAGAACAGGTGGTAGGCTGGATTTAGTCCCAGAGCTATATAACTTGTCAACCCCACCTTAGACTACTTTACGACGTTTATATTTAAGTACTTCTCAAATGAAATAAACTAGCAGTTTGTTTAATTTATTATGTTCCAGGTACTGTGCTAAAAGCTGTAGATGAAAAGACATTACCTGAACTTCATGGCTAATGGGGAAACACATGCAGTATGTTTAAAAGTGAGGTGGGAAACAGGAGAAAAAGAGGTAAGGTTGTCTGAAAGGAATCATGGAAGGCTTAACAGAGAAGAAAGCACTTGACCTGAGACTTGTAGGACTTCGTTTTAACGCATTTTTTTAAAGGAAAAATGAATTTTAACAGCATTTTATGTTTAAGCACAAGCCTACCTTGGAATAAGAAAGCGCTATTTGTTGAAATACAGCATCATCTGGTGATTTACTATATGTGGCAAGCCCTTGTTCATCATCATCAAAAGGGTAGTTAACCACCAAAGAACCTATGAGGGAAATGAGCAAAATGTATTGTGTTATTTCTTTCAAGATGGAGCATTAACATAAAGTAAGCTTTTCACAGTACTGCCAGAGACAGGAAACCAATACAAATTTCCAAGGTTAATTTCCTCAATAGAAAATCAAAGTGGATAAATAAAATATTAAATAGCTATGCATGACACTTAAAGACTGCCTTAACTGGAAGGGTCTTGGGAGTTTGCCTGAACTTACAGGCATACTTTACATGTCAGAACTGAAAACAGAAGTATACAGCCTTAATTTAAACAATTTTACTTTTATAATATTTAAGATCAGAAAAATTGAGCAAAATTTGGTAATTTTTCACTAAAATTCAGACATTTATAAGGTCATGTCATGGAATTTTAAACTAAGAAAGGACCTCTTGAAGTCCGATTAACCCACCCTCTTTATTTTGCAGATGTGGAGTCTAAAATGGAGAGGCTAAACAACAAATGTATGGATAGTAGAGCCAGTCCTGACCTTCATTCAGAAAAAAATGCTAGAAATTTCTCTTATGCTCATATTATAAATTAGTCAACTGGAGTTATATCATATGATTTTTCATGACCTAAAATACAGAGAGTGATGTTTTAAAACATATATAAAGGATATCAACTCCCTTCATGCTCCCCCTAGGACATAAAGCAATTAGGGTGTTTCTCAGGCAGGAGCCCTGAGCCCACGCCCCCCCACCATAGGATCAAATCCCTTATTTTCCTATTAGTCACATCATTTTCATTTGTCCAGGTGCCCATTTATTCTGCCTTGATTAGGCCATTCATCTTTGCCTTTTTTGTCATGCCACTTCCTGGGCATGGAAGTGAAGGAACAAATTCAACTTGAATCCAGATGAAGTAATCCTGTGATAACAAATACCAGCAAACATTCATATATTTAAAAAATGTTTTCTTTAAGAAACAAGTATGAAGAACTATGCTCATTTTATTCCCCAAAATAGCTCTAACAAGATAAGTGTACTTCAACACCTGTTCTCAAATTACTCCAAAAAAATTTAATTTCACCCTGGATCTATGACTCATGCCTAAAAGTTACAACAGAAAAAAGTCAACTTCTACTTAATATTGTCTTTCAAATGGCTAATTTTATAAGGGAAAAAAAAAGTCATAAAAGACTTACAATACTCCTACAAAAGTTTATTTAAAAAATAATTAGTATTGGGACTTCCCTGGTGGCACAGTGGTTGGGAATCCGCCTGCCAATGCAGGGGACACGGGTTCAAGGCCTGGTCTGGGACCGCGGAGCAACTGGGCCCGTGCGCCACAACTGCTGAGCCTGCGCTCTGGAGCCCGCGCGCCTGGAGCCTGGCTCAGCAACAGGAGAGGCCACCGCAATGAGAGCCCCACGCACCACAACCAGGGGCGGCCCCCACTCCCCGCAACTAGAGAGGGCCCACGCGCAGCAACGAAGACCCAACGCAGCCAAGAATGAATGAATGAATGAATGAATAAATAAATAAATAAAAATTAGTATCAACACAAAGAGCATTAGCTATTTAAAAAAAGATAAATCTGACTTCATCAATATTAAAAATTTTGTGTATCAAAGGACATTATTAAGAAAGTTAAAGTAAACCTATAGAATGGGAGAAAATATTTGCAAATCAGCAATTTGATAAGGGTCTAGAAGCCAGACTATATAAAGAAGTCCTGCAACTCAACAAAAAGATGAAAAACCCAATTAACAGTGGGCAAAAGACTTGAACAGATATTTCTCCAAATAAGATATACAAATGGCCAACAAGCACATAAAAAGATGCTCAGCATCATTAGCCATCAGGGAAATGCAAATCTAAATTTCAGTGAGATATCACCTTTCACCCACTAAAACGGCTATAATCAAAAAAAAAAAAAATTGACAGGGTAAGGATGTGAAAAACTGGAACCCTCATACATTGATGGTGGGAATATAAAATGGTTCTGCTACTGTGGAAGTTTGGCAGTTCATCAAAAAGCTAAACATGGAATTACCATATGATGGTATTTCCATCAAAAAGCCAAACATAGGATAACCCAAAAGAACTGAAAACAGGGACTCAGATATTGTCTGCCAATGTTCATAGTAGTATTATTCATAATAGTAAAAAGTAAAAACAACCCAAATGTCCATCAACAGATAAATAGATAAACAGATTGTGGTACATACATACAATGGAAAATTATTCAGTCATAAAAAGAAATAAAGTACTAACATATGCTACAATATGAATGAACCTTGAAAACACTATGCTAAGTGAAAGAAGATAGACACAAAAGGTCATATATTATATGATTTCATTTCTATGAAATATCCCAAACAAGTAAATCCATAGAGACAGAACACAGATTGGTGGTTATCAGGGCTTGAGGGGCATGGGGAATAGAAAGCAACTGCTTAATGGGTAAGGGGTTTCCTTTTGGGGAGGTGAAAATGTTTTGGAACGAGATAGAGATGGTGGTTGCACAGCATTGTGAATGCACTAAATGTCACTGAATTATTTACCTTAACATGGTTAGTGTTATATGAATTTCACCTAAAAAATCAACATCAAAATTTTCAAAAAGAAATATTACTTTTCTCTATATTCTTTCAAAATCCCTCTAAATTGTTAACTTGGCAGCAAAGAATTCCTCTGTTAAATTTCTTTGCCAAGATTTCAAAACCCATTTAAAGATTTTAAGATGAGAAAGCAAAATACGTCATGGAAAGAAACATATCTACGTGATTGAAGATGTATCCCCCACCATGCCAAGGTCTTGATACCACATGTAAACATCTGTCAATTATTTTCAGTGGAATGTAACTAGTATTAAGTTTTCAGCTTTAGCCAACATGACGTGATGTATTTTTTACAGAATTTTTTTTTTTTTTTTTTTTTTTTTTTTTTTTGTGGTACGTGGGCCTCTCACTGTTGTGGCCTCTCCCGTTGTGGAGCACAGGCTCCGGACACGCAGGCTCAGAGGCCATGGCTCACGGGCCCAGCCGCTCCGCAGCATGTGGGATCTTCCCGGACCGGGGCACGAACCCGTGTCCCTTGCATCGGCAGGCGGACTCTCAACCACTGCGCCACCTGGGAAGCCACTTGGGAAGCCCTACAGAATATTTTTTAAAGCTCAAAGTAAAAAATATTTTTTGTCAAACATGGTATACAATTAATAAAGTAAGAAAAAAGCCAAAAAATTATTTTGCTAACCAGGCTGCAACTTCATAATTCCTATTTGGGTCTTTGAGAATCGTCCATGATTACCAATTATAGAAGTATTTTCTCCTACTATTAGCAAGCTTTCAAAGTCATTTGAAAGAATCTCAATTTACTTCTTAAATACAAATATCCATAAGTGTGTACTGTCATTTCTAAAATGGCAGGTTAATCTATATGCCATCAAATCTCAACTGTGATACTTCCTTGGATAATCCAACAAATGTGGACACTAAATTTCTTACCTATTGCCCCTGGTGGTAATACCTTCACTCTTTTTTAATTTATTGAGATATAATTCACATACCATACAATCCATCCACTTGAAGTATATAATTCACTGTTGTTTAGTATATTCACAGGGTTGAATATACAACCATCACTACTATCTAATTACAGAACATTTCATTACTGAAAAAAAAACCAAACCCATACCCATTAGCAGTCACTCCCCATTCTCTCCACCACTATCCTCTACAGCTTAAGGCAACTGCTAATCTATTTTCTATCTCTATGGATTTGCCTATTTCTGCACATTTCATAAAAAATGTAATCATACAATATATGGTTTCTTATGACTGGCTTCTATCACCTACCACGCTTTCAAGACTCATCTATGCTGTAGCATGCATCAGTCCTTCATTCCTTTTCACAGCCAGATAACATTCAATTCTATACCACATTTTATTTATCTGATCGTTAGTCGGTGGACATTTGGGTTATTTATACTTCCTGGTTATTATGAATAGTGCTACTATGAACGTCCACATACCAGTTTACATGTAGACATGTGTTTTCAGGTCTCTAGGGTATTGACACTTATTCACACAACCCTAGTTGGACATTGTGATGATTTTTTGTTGTTGTTGTTGTTTATTTATTTATTTTTGGCTGCATTGGGTCCTTGTTGCAGCACACGGGCTTTTTCTAGCTGTGGCATGCAGGGGGGCCTACTCTTCATTGCAGTGCCCGGGCTTCTTGTTGTGGTGGCTTTTCTTGTTGCAGAGCATGGGCTCTTGGCACATGGGCTTCAGTAGTTGTGGCACCTGGGCTCAGCAGTTGTGGCTCACGGGCTCTAGAGCACAGGCTTGGTAGTTGTGGCACACGGGTTTAGTTGCTCCGTGGCAGGCGGGCCCTTCCCGGGCCAGGGCTCGAACCTGTGTCCCCTGCACTGGCAGGTGGATTCTTAACCACTGGGCCACCAGGGAACCCTCATTGTGATGATTTTTAATCTGGACCTCTCATCCTATTCAACTAAGTTCCTGCTGAATTATATAGCGGTGTATAAGCTCAGATACTACATGAGAATGAGGTCATTGTTCTACAGTTAAATACACAGCAGATAAAAGATAAGAGAATGTCAAAATCTAAACCTACATAAAAGGGCATATTAAACTTTAGGGAGAAATAGGACTAAACATTTGGATCTGTGTTTAATTTTTATAAATGACAAAGAACATGTTACCAAATTCCCAGTGAGAGGGATAAATATAAAACATTTCTGAGGGATAAATATAAAACACTTGAAGAACTAAGTGAGAAAGAAATGGAGGGAGGGAGAAGGAGGAAAAGGGAAGGAGAGGTGGAGGGTGAGAGACAGAGAAAGAGAGGGAGGCAGGGTAGATGGAAGGAGGGAGAATGGAGGAGTACTGGGAGAGGGGAGGGGTGGGGGAGGAACAGGGAAAACAGCCAGGAAACTGGGTTAAAAAGTAATGAGAAAAGACCTTTATTGTTGTCTGCCATAAAAGCAATAAGAGGCTTAAGATAGCCTAAGACTATAAACAGATAAACTTCCACTGGGATTTTCAAATGCTCTCAACAAGAATTAATTAGTGGAATATCAAGTTGCTATTACCTCCATGCAGGTTTGCTGACAGCACAAATGGATAGGCTTTCATCCAGCTCATTACAGCAATAGTTTCTGGTTGGGTAGGATCTGTGATCTGAATGAACTGATCTGGGAAATTTCGGTTCAGGTCAAAGTTGTTGCTGTTATTTCTGCCGACTACACTTATTGAATCTCCTGTATGATAAAAGATTCAAATTTAAGCCATGTTTCATTTATATTTTAATCCAATAGATACTACTTCAGCTATCTTAACTCAAAGGTAAGTGTGAACACATCAGGCTTCACTATGATCAAACACACTATGATTGAAACCGAGTAGGACCCTGTGGGACCTTCCCAGGTTAAAAGAGCCCCTCTGCATCCCGTATTTCTTGTTTGTAGAAAAAAGGCTTTAGTCTCCTAGGCCTTCCCTGAGTTCCAAAGAGCAGGTATAAGCAGTTACTAATTAGGGAAGTGAGGAAATTCAGAAGTAAATGAAAAGCAGTTAAGCAAGAAAAGTAATGACAACAATTCCCGATTAAAAACAAGAGTCCTAGTTCTTACTCAAGGGATATACATAACAATCTAACATGTATCCTTGAGTTGTTCTGCAGGATGTAAGACCCCGACCCAGTAGGGGAAGGTGACTATGTGCTGAGCACAAGCATGTAGACCCCAGACTGGCTGGAACCAGAAGGCTGATGATTAAGATTCCCGAAACATCACCCTGTTACCTCCACACCACCAATCAATCAGAAGAAAGTCATGCACCCTATACCCTCACCCCAAATGTTGCCTTTAAAAATCCTTCCCTGAAAGCCATTGAGAATTTCAGGTCTTTTGAGCATGAGCTGCCCATTCTCCTTGTTTAGTGCCTGTAGATAAATCCTGTACTTTCTTTCACCACAACCTCATATCAGTAAATTGGCTTTGCTCTGCAGCAGGTGAGAGGATCCAAGTTCAGTTGGGTAACGTGATTAAAACACACATCGTTTTTACATTGTACATTAAAAAAAATGTATCTCTTCTAGATCTTCTGAATAGAAAGGTAAAACCACTATCCTTTCCTCCTGCCTCTGGTCATACTTTGAGGGGAAAAACTCCAACCATACGAATTATATTAAAATATTGCTCATCTGTCAATAATCCACATACAGTGATGTGACCACAATGTTGAGTGGGCATGACTGGCATGAGGGGGACTCTATTGTACTGGCATACAGGTCACTAAAACAATGTAAATAAACAGACCAAATGAAAAGAGTTGCAGTATGCTCACATTAAAGTGATAACAAAAAGGTAAAGTTAGTCAAGAACATAGTTGGAAGGGAGGAGGAGAAAGGGTTCAACTTAAGCTTATTCCATTTTACTATGGGATGAGAGCCCTATTATTGTCATTATAATGAGAAAATGAATGCAAGTGAATGAAGAAAACCTACTAGAGGACTCACTAGTAGTAAGTAGTTCTATCTTTCAGAAAGGTCTCAAGGGAGGAATGTGGAAGGAATTTGTGAGGCTGACAGAGAATAAGGTCCTTAG